TTGAGGGACAAATGCGCACGTTAAAGTTATAATCACCTTATAAAGATCTTCACTTTTGTTGTACAAAGAAGCCCATATATAATTATATGTATGTATATATATATATATATATATATATATATAGTACTGGTAAAAAGGAATCCGTCAATTCTCTCCTAACTTTGTATGTTTTCACTTCACCTTCTCCCCCTTTCTTTTAGTTTTTGTTCAAACAATTTAGAATTTATAAAATAATCAATTATATTATATAATAAAATTTAATCGATGTAATGCATATTTATTAAAAAAAATTTATACTTATATATAATTTTATTATAAAAAAAAAAAAAAAAACTCAAACCACTATGAAGCAAAAGTGTACTAGATAAATTAAAAAGGAGATATATGTTACTAATCTTTGAGAACAATAAAATTGATTCTTGTGGGTTATAAAATCTTTGAGTGCATTGGAGCAAAAGGAAGGAAATTTGTTGACTAGTTGGGATACTCCCATGGTTAATATATTATTTTGTATGTCTTTATTTTTGGGTATTCTTCTCCTTTTTCTCACCTATAGTAAGTACCTTAACCCCACGTCCACAAAGGAAAACACACTTACATCTCTCTTCTCTTCTTGAGCTCTCCCTATTTCCTCTCAAGTGTCATTTTCTCACATATACTTCACACAAAAGAAACAACCATTCACTTCATTCCTTGTCACTTCTTTTCTCTCTTTATTTTTCTCTCTCTTTCTCTATCTCTCTCTCAATCTCTCCAATCTCTGCAACTACTCCCTCTTCTCAAAATTCATCAACAACCCACAAATCTCACCTCTAATACTTCAAAACCCTTTTCCCCTAATCATCAAAAACTATTTTCTCTCTCTCTCTCTCTCTCTCTCTCTCTCTCTCTCTCAAGATATATAACTTCACTGTTAACGCAGTAGCCAGAAAGGCAGATAGACAAAGAAGCAAGAGAGGAAGTTGGAGGAGAGTTTGGGAGAAAAAGGAAGCTGTGATAATTCCTTTGATTGCTAATAATTAACATGGAGCTCTTCCCTGCACAACCAGACTTGTCTCTGCAAATTAGTCCTCCCAACACCAAACCCTCATCCACATGGCCTCGGAGAAGTAGTACGGAAGAGGACATGGATTTGGGGTTTTGGAAGAGAGCTTTGGAGTCAAGAAGCTCCATCTCTTCAATGGCAAAACCAGACAACTCATGCTTCGATCTCTCCTTGTCGAATCCAAGGGTTATTTCAGACTCCAACTCTTCTCATTTCCATCTCCAATTTCCTCAGAGCGGCACCAATTGCCATGGCAATAATTTCTTCCACTCTCTGCACCAAAACCGTCTCCAGACTCACCAACTCTTCCACCAACATCAGCACCCACAAGGGCTGAGCCAAGAGCTGGGTTTCTTGAGGCCCATCAGAGGGATCCCTGTCTACCAGAACTCTCCACCTCATCCTCCTCCTTTCTCATTTCCTCAACACTCTCTTGATTCTTCTCCTTCTTCTTTGGCCGGGACTAGCACCACTTATCAGCATCAGAGTACATCGCAAGGGTTAATGAGGTCTAGATTCGTGTCAAGGTTCCCTACAAAGCGCAGCATGAGAGCTCCAAGGATGCGGTGGACTACTACTCTCCATGCTCGCTTTGTTCATGCTGTTGAGTTATTGGGTGGCCATGAAAGTATGCTTTCTTTCTTTTCCTCCCTTAATTTCCTTTTCATTCTCTTGCCTTTTCAGACCCTTTTCTTTTGTTTTTTTATTATAACATTAGTCCTCTTGGGAATTCCTCTCAAAATCTAAAATAACATATTTGACTTGATATAATTTTTTTTTTCTGAAAACTGATTAGGAGCAACACCCAAGTCAGTTCTTGAGCTAATGGATGTGAAAGATCTCACCTTGGCTCATGTTAAATCTCATTTGCAGGTAACCTTAATTAAATTTTCTCATGCATTCTCTAACAATTTCTCAACTGGGTTTCTGTTAAAGTCCTTGTCTTGTGAATCAAAGATTTCGAAATTTTAATTTTGATGGGTTTTTTACTCTCCTGTTAGTTAATCATGTTTTGCGAGCTGAATTTGTAGACTCGATAATTATATTAACGATCTATACCCAAGCTTTATATATATAATTATATACTGCATTACACGAAGGATTTTAATTAATTAATTAAAATTGATTATTACAAATTCCAAGAACCTTCTCAATGCAGAGGGTCTCTCAAATCCTTAGCACTTCTTTTTCCTACTTAGATCTGATGGTTCTGTAACCTAATAAACAGCTTTTTGCTTGGAAGAATGAACCTGCCCAAGTAAAAGAAAAAAATCAATACTACTATTACTGCCTCAGAGAGAGAGAGAGAGAGAGAGAGATAGACAGACAGACAGAGAAAGAGTAAATAATATTATCGATTTCAGAAAACAAGTAAGACAAACCCCAAGGAATTCAAAAATGAAAAAGAGTCATGGCCAAGCCAAGACAAGTTTTTCACTGAGTCCATTATTTTTTTTCTCTCCTAACAAAACCATTCATGGAAATATATATTATAATATGGATGTATGTATCTATATATATATAGAAGAAAGAGAGAAAACGAGCAAGTACAAAACACTATCATTTCTCAATGATATCTTCTCCAGATGAGTTTTCCTAGACCATGCTTTCTTAACCATGGTTATATTTTACATATATACATATGTGTATATATATTTATATATGCACATATACGTTCATGCATGTACATACATGTAAACATACACATATGTAGATATGACCATAAATGCTTCTGTCTGCGGTTATATCCCTACCTTCTTTATATCTTTTTTTTAACAGTTGTACGTACTTGCACTACTGTATCACACATTGTGTTTGGCATTCATTAGACTTCACCACATTGGTCTCCTTTTGTTCCTTTCCTTCTTTTCTTTATATGTTCTTTTGCTTCTTATGAATGTCCTTATATGTTTGTCTTTGTATATATACATAAAGCTTTATGTTAAATCAGTGAACTATATAAATCTAAAATGTCGTAAATTATAGATGAGTATTATAATGGGGTTGTTAATTCTTTGATCCTTTTGTAGATGTATCGAACAGTGAAGACTACTGATAGGGCAGCCGCTTCTTCAGGTTTATATATAATTCAAATATGAATTATCTTTTTGGGGTTTTTATTAATTAATTTTGGCATTTAATTACACCTTTAGTATTTCTGAATGTTATGTTTTAATTAATTAAACAGGTCAATCGGATGCATATGAAAATGGATCGTCCGGAGATAACTCGGACGATTTGGTTTTTGACATTCAAGCAAGACAAGGTGGTCATCAAGATAAAGATTACCATGCTCTCTGGAGCAATTCTTCCAGGTGATTAATTAATTATTTCCCTACTTCAATTCTTAATTTTCATATGTTTCTTAGCTCGGAAAATAAGATTATAACTCTGAAGAAAATTACACATGTTATGGTTGTGATAGTTTGACGATTCTACTAGAAACGCTGTAAATCTTAAAATTTCTTCAAAAACTAATCTTGTTGAAGAATTTTAATGATAATACAATCTAAAGTTAGTATGTAGATTCGTACATAAATTCCTACATTTTCCTTTGAATCTATTTTGTTGCAAATTAACCCAGGAAATTATAACTCAATGTATACTGCATTTAAGTATGAGATAAACAAGCCAAAATCATGGTTCGATTTGGGAAGGTAACTAGGAGGCTGTACATGAGAATTCTTAATAGGATTTGAATCCCCTTTGTAAGTTCATAACATATTAAAAATAACGAAAAATATATGTGGTCCTATATATATATATATGTATATCTATGTTACATGCTTTTAGTTTGCGTTGCTCCTTTTGTGTCATTGAAGTTTGTTCCTTAATGAGAATGGATATGTAAATTTGGGGAGATTCTCTACATATGCGCATCTCAATATGCATACACAAAATGTATACTAAAGTATCTCTCTTCCCACCAACAGGACATTACACATGCATGGGCAGGTATATATAAGACATATATATATATACATATATGAATAGTTTGCATGCAAGAAATCACAAAAAGAGAGAGAGAGAGAGAGATTGAGTGGTTTATCTTTGTGTTTGAGTGGAGAAGAAGAAGCATGGGAGAGAGAGAGGGAAGTGGAAGCCATGATGGTGTAATAATAAGATATGTGTGTTTGAATGAAGTGGGTGAAAAGGGAGAAGTTAAAAAAGAAACTCTCTACTCTCTCCCATACCATTCCAAGACAATAAGGGAATCCCCAACATATCCTCCTTAAAAAATGGGAGAGACATATATATCTCTTTCCTTTGGATTTTGTGGGACCTATTCCCTTACATTACTTACTCTCAAAGCTAAATATATTATACAACCCTCTCTTTCCCCTCTCTTTTTCTATATGTAGTTTGATCTTCTTCTGATTTAGTTAATCCTATGGTTTGTTTTATGGGTTTTCTATTTTAATTTGTTTACCATGTTAATATTTAGAAATGGGTGTAAATTTACTCTTCAAAAAAATTAATGGTTTTATACAAATTGACCAAATAATGCAGGGTAAAAGAATATTTGGGCTAAAGTTATATATGAGTATGAGTGTATGCATAGACCCAGCATTATATTATTAGTGGAAATTTTTGGTAATTATATTAATATAAAGCAAAGTTTAGTTAAGCCTTTGAATTTTGTTTTATTGTTTATGAATGTGTTGCAATGGGTAATGGGTAATCACATGGGAATGTGGGGGATACCTTCCTAGCTACTTTATTTCATAAGCATAAATAAGACAGTAAAAGATTGCTTTCTTTCTTTCTTTCTTTTTTATAATTTGGAAAAACTGTCCTTTTTTTTTTTCTCAGTTTACTTTTTCTTCTGCATGCATGGCTTCCACTGATACAAATATTCTCTCTCTTTTGTGTTGGTCTTTGTAGCAGGGAAGCTTGGTTGCATGCAAAACCAAAGGATTCCACTCCAAACATGCCATCCATTGAGGTACAACTTCTTTTTTCTTTCATTATTATTATTATTATTATTATTGTAAAAATGTAATTTTAATTTCTCAAAATGAATTTTAGTTTTTAATTTGTTTTTTTGGGAAAACTTATCAGCTACTTCTTTTATAAAAGAAAATATATCTAAAAGAAGAGAGTACCTTTGAGTAATAATGTCTTTGGTTAAACCCTAGCTAACAGACATATTAATGAAGGTAGACTTGCCAAGAATGTTTATTTAAAGCTCTTAGAAAAGATACATAGTTGAGTCTAAGGCAAAAAAAAATAAAAATAAAAATAAAAATAAATAAAAGCCTTTGAAAAGCTTGCTTGATTTAGACATTCTCAAGACGAGGGGTAAAATTATCAATCAATCTACGAAGGAAAGTTAAAGGGTTAACTTTGTAATCCTTTTAAAAAAAAACATCAGCTTTATGTTAATTAATTTAAAGCTTGGTAATTTCATGATAATTTATAATAAGATTAATTAATTAAGCAAAATAATAGATTGATTAATATATATATATATATATGTGTGTGTACATAGGAAGATACATGATATTATTGGAGAAAACTGTAGGAGATCACTTTCAAAAGTGTAGTAGTACTACTTATACTCAAAGTAATGTTTCTTTTCTTGTGATATATATTCTCTTGTTCTCTGAATCAAATATATATATGTCCTTCGATTATTCCCACATCAATAAGATTAATCAATTAATTTTTCCATCAAAAAAAATAATTCAAATTGATTTATTGTTATTTTTCTTTTTTTCAAGAACTAATTTATTGCTTTGTTAATTCAAAAAAGAATGAATTAATTATGTTTATTTCTTAATTTCATTAATTTTGAATTTGAGCAGGATGCAAAATGCATAAATTACGAGAGATTATCATCATCAGATGTAAGCTCATCGAGCCAATCTGCAGGGACAAGCCCCAAGAAGCCTAATTTGGAGTTCACTCTAGGCAGGCCACATTGATCATATTATATTATATTATATTTTATATATATATATATATATGTTGCCCCTTCTTGTTATTAATTA